CCAACCCACCAACCCACCAACCCACCAACCCACCAACCCACCAACCCACCAACTAACCAACCATGTTTTTGTAAAAAGAGTAAAGGTCACAATCATTGTTTCATTTTTTTGTCATGAATAGCGTTAGTCAGAGAAATCAACCAAGATATCTTTTTTGCAGCTCCACCAAAACTGTATACTTATGCTGATGTGGATCATCATGGTCTCATGGACCAGCAAGGCCTACCATCACCTGGTCCACGGTCGCTCCAATATGGCCTCCATCTGCTGCAAGAACCAACTGACAAACACGATCAGTTCTATTTAATATGCAAAGACCAATCAGGACTCAGAATCATCAAAACAGAATACATACCTCGACAGACGTTTCCATGTGAGCCGAGGGATTTCTTCTACTCGTCCAATTCCAACAGAAGAGGATTGTACCCCTTTTTTGTAGTAGACAAAGGGAAATCTGCTCCACAGATGATATCATTAAAGAATGATACCACCTATTGTAGTGGACCAAGTAGCGTTACCCAGTTGTTTGCAGCATCCATCGAACTTTCTGGTGGGTACTCTTTTATCACATATACAACGATTGCTTAGAAATTACTTGCGAGCACAATACTCTCCTTTTTCATTCGGTAAATACCGCTGCCGTGATTTATGATAAAGACTTATTTGTACAGGTTTAGTATCTTTTAAAAGTAAATAACTTGCAAAAATCAACTGAAATGTAAAGGTTGCGCAAGTTAAATAATGCCAATATTTAAGTAAATTCACGAGACTTTAAATGGATTCTATGAGTAGCTGACTTATAAAGGAAGCTACTAAATCCTGTACTAATGATTATATGGCTTTCAAAGCTAGCGGCATGAATCGCACGCGAAGCTGGTATATTCAATCCATATTTGCGGTTCAGTTTTCTTACTGCACGCTTTTTATTGACTTTTATAAATCCCTTCAATTCGGAAATCCTTAGTAGTGATTACCAGAAATCCATCGATCAACTGATAATTTTTTTTTGAATCTTAATATCTTTGATTTGCCAAATGGAAGTAAAACACTGACCACCATGTTTTCTCAGCGGGAAAGAATTTTATATGGAACTTGTGATTCAGCTGATGAAGAATTTGTTGCATGTGAAATCAATAAATTGGTGCAAAGCAATTGATTTATGTTTGTTTTGTGAGGTATTAAGGATTTGGGAGTGTTAATTGAGTAAACATGGTTATCAGCTATCATGAAACAGTAAAACGTATTTCGCTATTTTGGTTCAGTGAATCTTGCATACAACAGCAGCGTGTCACTGTCTTCACACGTACCAGGCTTTAATGCAACGTTCGTTATTGATGGAGATTACAAGACATGTGCCAAGACTCTTAAGGTAACAAATAACAAGGCTTATTGAGTGTAATATGCTGGAATCCTACACGGTTAACATCAAGGAGATGCAGGGTGCCAAAGAGGAAGAAATGGACGAAGAAAAAAAAAAAAGGTTGTTGAATAAACATATGAGTGTGTGAAGGATAAAAGGAAGGGAGGAAAGAAAGAGGGATGGAAGCAAGCAAGCAATTAAGGAATAATGATAATAAAAAAACTTTGGAAGATTTCATATTCATTTTCAGCAAGACAATCCCTGGCTGGAAATGAAGCTCAGTGGCTCACAATTCATCTATAAAGTTTATGTCTCCACACGACAGAACTGTTCATATGGCGACCATTTGCCTAACATAACAGTCAGAATTTATGATCAGAATATTCAAGTCTCATGCAAGACTACTGACCAACGTGCAAAGAAAACCTCGCGTGTTTTCTTGTGTCAGCCTCCTTTACGTGCTCATAAAGTTCGCATAGAAAATCATGGAAAACAGATTCAGCTATCACTATGTGAGGTTATTGTAAACGCTGTAGGTAAGGTTTAAAAAGCAAAATATAAAACAGAGTCTTTAATAGCAAGTAATTTTTGGGTCGTCGTTAACGAATTTGCAAGATGTGATCCTATTGGAGGGCACACATTTGTAGAACAATAAAAAACAATGACACTTCCCCAACCCCGCCCCTAAACCTAACCAATCACAGGGGACGTTGCAAATTCGTGAAGCTTAACCCAATTTTTTCTCATTAATTTGAAAGAAAGCTTAAGATGCTGTTATTTCTTTATCTTTATAATAAAACAGCTTTTTCCATGCTTCGTTGAGTAAAATAACACTTGTGTTGGGAAAGTACTTTGTTATTGTTGGATGTCTCTATTGTGAGGTTTTGACTCAATAGGAAGGTGAAAGAAACTGAATGAAAGTATGAGGGCTACAATTATTCAAAAAAAA